CGTGGTTAAGGCTCTGCTGATACCGTGGCTCATCCTTAAGCGATAAGACGGCGCAGTCGGTTTTTAGTGCGATATGCCCACCTTTTTCGAGGTGGGAGAGACCCACCGAACCCCTCGCAATTGCACCGCGCCCCGAGCGGTATGCTTAACAAACTCCGAGAGTGGACTGCAGCCATTCGGCTGTCTGTCCGCTGGCGAAGTGTGGCGGCATCGCCTTCCGTAGTCTCGCGGCACCCCTCCCCCTAAGGTGGTCACGGGCGGGCGACGGCCTTTGGTCCGTGTCCACTGGGGTGTGCTAGCGCAGCATTTAGCCAAGGAGACAGGCTAACTCGCTTTCACATATGAGCTGCCGCTTGAGCAGTCGTTAGACGTGTGAGCTTAACACTGAGCCGTACCCAGGGAGGCATTTTCCGACGGTAAAAAAAAATTAAAAAAGGGATATATCTGGATATTAAATGGGTGCTAATATGTCGACATTCCGTCCGACATTTTCAGAACGCAAAAGTTGTTCAATATAAATTGACGTGGCGGTTTCAGTCTATGAATTACCTAATGTCTAAAGGCAAATATCGATAGCGTATCTTGCTTCGATGTTATATTTGGGATATTTACCTTCTGTCAAATGACTCCCATGACCACCCCATGAAAAAATCTAGTTTGCAATAAACGTAGTTAAGCAATAAGCTTAAAATACGTGAAGACTGTAAAATGAAACTTGGCCACAAAAGGAGAGGTGGCGAGTTTCTTGCCAGTTCTTCTCGTTCGTTCAAAGCCCTTGAATTGAGAACTCGTAGTAAATGTAAATTGAGAGTGTTTAGGTTCAACTGATGTGACGTTTATAAGTGTTTTTGACTTTGAATACTAATCAGTAGCCTTACATCCATGGGTTCCTCTGTCTCCGTGACGTTAGCTGCCACTATCGGTTTGCCGTGCTCGCTCGTGAACAGGTCTTCAACGCGAGCATCAGCTGGGGTCTCCGTTTGAGATTCGGTCGCGAACAGTCTCGCTAGTTGTTCGTGAACGCGGCGCTCACCAGCTCTCGGTGTGGTTGCACCGCGTTCTTTCACACGTTCTATGAGACCCTGGTAACAATTTTGGTTTTACAAAGTGTGGACAAACTATTAAAGTGGAATAACGTATCCCCTTGGGGCGAACAATTTTTGGGTCAGTTTGTCTGATTTTTATTTACAGGGAATTATTTTATCCGACGTCCGCCCTGCTTGACTGAAACTGTTTATTGTTTCCCCGGGATTCGAAACCGGGACCTCTCGCGATTAACGCAATGCCAAACAACATGTTACTGATTTGCTACAACTTGTTAAAAAATATTCTTTAGTTTTTATTATTTAATATTTTTCTTTAGTTTGTAATTTCGAGTCACTTCTTCCCCCCCTTTCGTGGGTGTCGGGCACTGAAAAACGATACGTCACCGTCTCTCTTATGTGCACAAGTCAAGCACTCTTTTTTGTTTCAGGAGCAGTATTTAAAATATTTTTTTTACGTTGACTTTGAATCGTTGAATTTAATAAAAATAAAAATTATAAGAATGTGTGAATAATGCTGGATGCCGAACTACTTATCATAATGTTATTTATTTATAAGGCTTACTAACTACACAAACATGTTTTAGACTACTAAAGCTAAATACTGTCTAAAGTCTACTTAAGCTAATTATAGTATGAATAAACTTATGCACAGCGTTGAAATGTATCGAATAAAACTTGTCTGTGGTTTGTATGAGTAATACTTACTAAGAAGTGATCCTCGTGAAAGAAAGTAGTCCCCATCAAACGATCCAAGAAGCGGCAGTCTTTGTAAAGGTTTAGTAGTTTTCGCATTATCTGTGAACAGTAATGAGTATTAGGCAATTAATTCTGTCGTCACAGGGTAACGCCTGTCTAATCCAACTAATCGTATTCCATATCCAGTGTATAATAATCTGTTTGAATGTATAAATAGCTATGTTTGATAATTTAATGAAACTATTATACTATATCTTTCAGAAACACAAACTAGTAGTGTCTGTTAGTTTCGTCTCAGTTAGCATCTGAGACGAAACTAACAGACACGAACCGGACATATATCTGGGTTTCTTTTTGTAACCATTTAGAGTCAAATAGATAGACTTCTTAAGACTTCTTTCGTTAATATAACTCTCCCCCCCTTTAATCTATATCGAACTCACCTCCTGGCTCTGGAGCGTGGGATGCTCTGCAAACATCTGCTCCAGGCGTCGCATTGCCACCCGCCCACGCTCTATGTGCGCCGCCACCCGAGGTTCCAGCAGCCGCGGCGTCAATTCTGTCTTATTCGAACCGACCGCCATCAGATTGAGGGGAGACTCCTCGCTGTGGGGCACTGTGAAATATACTGTACTGTTAGTGTTGAACAAACACATATTCTTTTAATTTAAAAATCGAAAATAAATTGAAAAAATTTTCGACTCGGGCAGGACTTGAACCGGCATCGTCAGCTTTCCGTGCTGTTGCTCTACCAATTGAGCTACCGAGTCCTACACCTCATCGTCGAATTTTTTTCAACTTATTGATACATGCACCTCTCGCGCAATGTAATTTCTACCTTAACACTTGCGTATTAAGGCTCAATGTCTTATGCTTTGCAGCTTAAGAAATCATTGAAGATGAAATTACAAAGTTATAACGTTTGAAAACATTAATATTTTTCACATGTTATTGCACATGAAGGCACTATATAATTTAAAAATCGAAAATAAATTGAAAAAATTTTCGACTCGGGCAGGACTTGAACCGGCATCGTCAGCTTTCCGTGCTGTTGCTCTACCAATTGAGCTACCGAGTCCTACACCTCATCGTCGAATTTTTTCAACTTATTGATACATGCACCTCTCGCGCAATGTAATTTCTACCTTAACACTTGCGTATTAAGGCTCAATGTCTTATGCTTTGCAGCTTAAGAAATCATTGAAGATGAAATTACAAAGTTATAACGTTTGAAAACATTAATATTTTTCACATGTTATTGCACATGAAGGCACTATATAATTTAAAAATCGAAAATAAATTGAAAAAATTTTCGACTCGGGCAGGACTTGAACCGGCATCGTCAGCTTTCCGTGCTGTTGCTCTACCAATTGAGCTACCGAGTCCTACACCTCATCGTCGAATTTTTTCAACTTTATTGATACATGCACCTCTCGCGTAATGTAATTTCTACCTTAACACTTGCGTATTAAGGCTCAATGTCTTATGCTTTGCAGCTTAAGAAATCATTGAAGATGAAATTACAAAGTTATAACGTTTGAAAACATTAATATTTTTCACATGTTATTGCACATGAAGGCACTATATAATTTAAAAATCGAAAATAAATTGAAAAAATTTTCGACTCGGGCAGGACTTGAACCGGCATCGTCAGCTTTCCGTGCTGTTGCTCTACCAATTGAGCTACCGAGTCCTACACCTCATCGTCGAATTTTTTCAACTTTATTGATACATGCACCTCTCGCGCAATGTAATTTCTACCTTAACACTTGCGTATTAAGGCTCAATGTCTTATGCTTTGCAGCTTAAGAAATCATTGAAGATGAAATTACAAAGTTATGACGTTTGAAAACATTAATATTTTTCACATGTTATTGCACATGAAGGCACTATATAATTTAAAAATCGAAAATAAATTGAAAAAATTTTCGACTCGGGCAGGACTTGAACCGGCATCGTCAGCTTTCCGTGCTGTTGCTCTACCAATTGAGCTACCGAGTCCTACACCTCATCGTCGAATTTAATACGCAAGTGTTAAGGTAGAAATTACATTGCGCGAGAGGTGCATGTATCAATAAGTTGAAAAAATTCGACGATGAGGTGTAGGACTCGGTAGCTCAATTGGTAGAGCAACAGCACGGAAAGCTGACGATGCCGGTTCAAGTCCTGCCCGAGTCGAAAATTTTTTCAATTTATTTTCGATTTTTAAATTATATAGTGCCTTCATGTGCAATAACATGTGAAAAATATTAATGTTTTCAAACACATATTCTCTGTAATTATATGTTATAAATTAACAGACTAGTAAGACTTTTAAATTTAAATAAAACACTAGAAAACAAGGAGGAATCTTGTTTAGATGTTATATGGCTGGGGTATTTCGCTACTACCGAATGACACCTATGCTGAAGTAATTTCGATACAAAAGCTCATTTTTTAGGACTGGCGCGTGTATAGTTTGCCTTACATTACATAGACTTCATTAACAAAACTCTATTTTTATATCTGCAAATTGGAGAATCAAAGCAGTCTTACACATAGGAGCTGGAATATGGTCCCCGGTGGGTGCGTTTTCACCAGCCGGGGGCGTCTCCGGGGTGCGCGGTTCGAACTCGTGCGCAGAGCTCTGAGTCTCCCACGAGTCCTCCGAAGCGGAGCCATCGGAGCCCCAAAGATCTCCATCTTCCGAGTCGTATTCTCCTACCTAGTGATTAAACATTTTCTATAAAAAGTTAATTTTGTTAGTTACATAATACGCGACGATAGCTCAATTAGTTATATGTTTTTAATTTGGGGTCTTATAATTTGCATCATAAAAACCACAGAGTATTTAAATAAAACACTTAACGGTTTAAAACGCGATATATATTAAAATATTACATGTGTTAAACCTATTTGGAAATTATTTTGACTACGGCGCGACTTTAGGATGCTGTGCAGCAGTCGTGGTCACAGGGAGACTATAATTTGCCAAATAACTAATATTTATCGCATTATCAACCGTTTCTTTTACTTAAAATCGCGTAAACTACGCCCAGTAACTACAGAGGATCTCGTTCATTATTAATCATCTGTATATTTTGTTGTTTTTTAGACTGTGTATTGTATTCTAATACTATTGTAAATCTTCATTCAATAATTAGTAAAATACCTATTTAGTCCAACTTTATTTCACTGCAAGTAGTTTAGGATTAAAAACAAGTAAATATTGCCTTATTTACGTTTGGTAGTATCGATCAATGGAAAAGACACATAATATGTCCATCTCGTTCCCAACGTAAGAGACACGGAATTGCCACAGCATTGATTTTTGTTTCTATTTGCCTTAAGGTTCTCTGACTTTAATTATTACTTGAATGTTTGAAAGTGCATCTATTATGTGTATAAATTGGTACCGTACCTTGTATAGATCCTGTGGCCAGCACATACTCGTGTGCCCATCCACCCACCATACCTTCACGCGACCAGACGGGAAATTGTCGATAACCTGAAAAAAAATTATATTAAAGTAAACGAAAATGGCATTGGAAGCATATTGTTTTATATCGCACTAGCTGTGTCAGCGACTTCGTCCGCGGGAATCATTATTTTGGGCATCCGAATTCATTTTCGCAAAACCCTTCATGTTTTTAACGTAAAGCCACGTGTTACCCACGACGTTAGTCGCGTCCCTTCCCGCCGTTTTTGTTAATGTTAAAAATAGCGTCGCGGACTTTTTTTTTATCGTTTAAAGAGAAATCGTTCTTTCATAGATATTTTTTTTGTATCTTAAACCGTTTTCACAGCGTACGCCTTGGAAACTCATAATGATGAATAATTTTCTCATTCTTTTCATAATTCTCGCTGTATCTTCGCTTGTATTAGTCACAGGGTGATGTTTTATAGCCTTCCACGATAAATGATAATAATTCAATTTGAACCAATAGTTCATGAGATTTGCGCGTTCAAACAAACTTTTCAGCTTTATATATTAGTATAGATAATAAAATTAATTTGTTTAAAAACAGTTGAATTAAATAATGAATCATTTAAATTCACCTGTCCAGCAGTACAATTGGCGTCTTCACCAGTGAAGTTGGCGACCCTGATGACGACGGTCCCCGGCCGGTACTGGAAGTCGGGGTGGTCCTTCAGGTCGTAAACACTCATCTCACTTTCGTATAGCATTTGTGGTCTGGAGACAAATCGTTTGAGTGATAAAACAATTATAGGCTCGTTT